AAATTGAAAACAGTGAGTTAAAAGTGCAATTAAAGAAAGTTCGGCCACATAGGACTGCTCAGTCAGCAACTTCGACAAACCAGAGCATGCTGCGTGATCAAGCACGCTGACGTTGGCGCCACGCAAGAAGCCACGTTGGCGATCCGCATGCCACGCGATCAGACGGCCCAGGATCGATCCCACGCATGTGGACGATCTGGATCCGCTTCTTCCTTAGGCGTGATCGAATGGTCAAGATCAAATGTGATAAATGGTTTATATTTATTTCTCCCTTATACACGATCGAACGTTCGAGATCAAACGTAATGAACGGTTCAGATTTGTTTCTTCCTTAGGCGCGATCGGACGGATAAGATCGATCGCGATGAACGGCCTAAATTAACGCAGGATGGGTACAAATATTTCGAATCACACAGAACCGAACCCTAGCCACCAGTCCTCCGCTAGAGAAGAAGAACCATACATCGGAGAAGGACACCGACCGCTGACTACTGACTGCCGACTGCCAACCGTCGCCGCACCAGAACCACCTCCGACTGCTAAAAAAAGTAAAAATTCTCCTACCCATTCGGGACTCGATTCTGAGCACTCCTTAGGTCATATCGGAGCAAAACAAATGGCTGGTGAGCCAAAAAAATGCGGGCAAAGCCTAGCGGGGTTGTTGCAACTTCTTCCGATGAGCCCCTTCTCAGTTTTTATTTTGTGCGATTTTTCCACCATTGTGTTTACCGTTCTGTTTTCTGTAGGTTGACCGAAGGAGGAATCCCAGCTGCAAAGGAGAGTCGGCGGAGCCGCCGCACCTGGAAACCCCACCACTGGTAAGTTTTGGTTTTCTTATTTTTTTGGCCAACCAATGCTCCTTAACGTTTTTTTTTTGCAATAATATTTGTAAAGTCAGTCGAAAACGGCTAGGCCCAGGCAAATCACCATCGCGGGCAGCGATGCTGTCGCTGGAGTACGGCGGTGGCGCCGTACTGAAATTTTAAAATTGGTTAGAAGAGATTTTTAATACCGATTTTAAGTTTTTTTTAGTATTTTTTTAAGTACGTGGAGCGTGTTTAATCTCTACAGGAAAATTCAAGAAATCTGGAGACTGGTAGGAGGCGCGGTAGAAAATATGGTATTTCGAACATCGATTTGGGTAAGAATCTCTCACCCTATTCCCTGTTATGGAATTGAAGCTTAGAAATTAATAATATAGTATTATGTGGAACTTAGAAAACTTTGGGAATAATTATAAGTCACTAATGGAGCCGAAACCAGTTAATTATTTATTTGTCATGTTTAATTGATTACTTGCTCGTACAACTTTAAATACATGATAATATATTGAAATAGTTAAATGATTCAGTTGTGTTTCTTTAATACATATCTCGCTTGTTTTGCGTGATTTACGGTTGATTGTGAAACGTGAAATTAATATATAGATAAAAAATTGTTTGATGATGTGAATTAATAAATGATTGTCTTAGTAGATATCCAGCGAGATGGTGGACGGATCGGGTATATAGGAAACCCTACCGTGAACGTTACCTCATACCCAACGGAGTATCGAATGATGGTATTTTTGGCGCTCATACCGGACAGGGTATGGGGACGGTCCGGTTCACCTTTATACCAAACGGGGTATCGATGGATAACATTTTGCCACTCATACCGGACGGGGTATGGGGATGGTCGGATTATCGATAAATTTAGATATTGGGTTCACGCATAGGGAGACATTCCTATGGACCCTCAGAGGTACCAGTAAGTAGATAAAAAATAAAAAGTTATTGTTCTTACTCACTTGTATAAGAGATCATAATATCATTTGAGTTATTATCTTTATAAGTTGATTTTGAAAATCTCATAATGGTAAGTATGCAATAAATGATTTTTCTTGTGATAAATGAACTTACTTAAATTAAGAATTTCATTAGTTGTTTTATGTTTTTTACCAACCTTCAGTTTCCGTATCGTTGAGTATTGTGATATTTTTATTGGGTTAGTGTAACTCACTTCTATTAACCATTTCAGATCAAAAAGATCGAGATTTAGATACTGATCAATAGGAGGGCTGTGAATAGATGTCCCCCGAATTCCATCAAGAGTTAGTGGAGATTAACCTCCCACAATATTTATTTATTATTTTCATATGTTTATTTCGTTTTTTTTATACACCGCTATAAAAGGAACATTTCTGTAATTCTATTGCGCATTTAAATTTATATGTAAGGAATATAAACTCTAACGTTATTATACGTTTTCGCATTAAATTTAAAAATTTATTTCTCTTTTAGTTCCGGATCACTTCATATGCGATGATTATGAAGATTCTTCAATTTCTTGAAAGATTTTTGGTGAACTTGTATTTATGTTGCTTAAGGGTTTAAACATAATATTTTATTTGTCAAAAAGTTTTGGAAGAAATTAAGAAAGAGACTCTCTTGCCCTCAAGAACAAGACAACTAAAGAAGATGTCTAGTCATGCTTTTAGGAGGAAATTTATTTGAGATAAACACCTTAGAAATCTGACAACAACACCTTGGAAATCTACAAAATTACTTAAAGACCTTTTGTAATTAATTTTATAATTTTCTTAAATATTGTTCGAAAACCTCCACTTATAGAACTAACAAAGTGAATGAGATTTGTTAATTAACCAAAAAACTTAGAGTGACTATTGTAGCAACAAATGTCTACTTCTCATGTGTCTATAATTTAATAAATGTCACATTTATAAAAGTGTACAATTTTGATGCTATAGTTGCATCTCAACCTCTTCAATCTATAATAAAGTAGTCGATTGCATGAATTTCTATAGAGTTAGCATTTTCGTATGAAATTAGAGAGGATAAAACTTTGAACATTGCTACCATGTACAATGTCGTTCCAATTGCCGGTGTTGTCGTCAATTGTGTCAACACTTGCTCCATCTTATTTTTCCTCTCTAAATGTTTTACTCTCTCTCCCTCTCATTGATATCCGCAAATGGAGAAGATTATATGATATGGGTGGGTCATAATTAAATTTTTTATTTTAAATAAATTAAATATTATTTTATTAAAAAAAATTTATATATCATATAATACAGGATGACATGTGGTATTTAAGTATCAAAAAAATTAATAATAATTTTATTTAATTGAACTAACAATATTAATAATTTTCAACAGTAAGAATTATTTGAATCATTTTAAAAATATATGACTGATTTAAATAAAAAAAATTTACAAAGTGTTACTTGAATATTTTCAAGGAGTTAATCATGCATTTAATCCTACTTAATATTAAAAATCAAGTAAAAAGGTTAATGTTAGATAATCTATTTTAAATTTATTAAAAGTAATATGATTTTGTATATCAATGATAAAAAATTTCACATAGTCTGGAAATAGTATGACTTTAGACTCCAAAGCAGCAAAATTTAACACTAGTTGGTAATTATTTTCTGACACCATATTTCAGTAACATTATAAATTTTTTTTTACAGGAATAAGGCTTAAAAAAATAATGTAGCAGCGGGATTAATTCTTCCAAACTCTATCAAAACCTTGTACGTGATTTGCCTGGGTAATAATAAGCATAAACAACCATGAAAGTATTAAATGGATAGTTGGAATTAGGCTTAGAAGCATCCAGGATCAGGTTTAAAAGTCTTCATCGTCCAGTGTTGGTCTTGTAATTGGTATTGACCACCTCCCCAAATGAGCAGTGTAATTTATGCACCTTACAACTCCTCTTCCAGTAGCCTCATCTGGAAAGTCGATGACGCTGATGCTCCCCGCATCAACATGGAATGATCCCATCCATTCTTTTGTCAGATTCAGGCAATGTGCTGTTAGTGCTGTGTGAATTGCCGGATGACCAATCACAACAACCACCTTTTCTGTCTCAGATTCATCCAAGAGCTCAGTTAACAGTGATTCCCAGGCTTTTCCAGATCGATTCCAGAGTTTTGAAATGACTTCATCCCCAAATCTGTTTAACCAACCAGCCTCAAGATTTGCAACAGCATCCTGCCAAAAGGAACACACTTTTTAGGCTGGAAATGAGGCTGCTGCTTCAACGGGTAATCTCATTTTCTGAGACAGTTGACGGGATCAAGATATATTGCACACATGGATTTTAGATGAAGCCTGGTGTATTTCAGCAAGGAAGATCTACATTATACATGTGAGTCTATAACCAAGGTCCAGGTAGACAGCCGAAAAAGAAAAAAGCAAAAAAAAAAAATGAAAATTAAAAAAAGAAAGTAATTGACAAAGGAGGCATTTGATTTTATTTCTCAATATTAATATATTATTATCTGTAGACATCTTGCCTTCTCAGATTGCAGGAAGATATCTTCAATATCCAGGGTTCCCATTTGTTTCATATCCACATAACGTGGCACACAGTCAGCACCCAAGCAATCTGCAGCTTCTTGCACCTAAAATCACGTAGGAACTGAATAAAAAATGCTCTTCGAATTGCCACCAGAGATTGAGATTCTAACTGATTAAACTGGCTTAAGCAAGATGGACAGAACTTACTCTGATATACCGTGCAGTCTCAACGGAAGCATTCTTTGGGCTGCTATATAGAGTTCAGTTTCAA